AGTTGATGGTGTCCTAAATGATGATTGAGAAGGTAGCAGCAGCTGGGAGCTCTCAGATCATCAGATGCGTATTGGTATGGTATCCTACGCTAACACGATTGATTAGCCCAAAGTACAGACACGAAACAGCTTGCCTTAATATCTAAGGCGATGTGCTAACGGATTTGTTGGAGAAACATAAACAATGTCATCGAGAGTTTATCTATGTTGCTAAAGAGGGACGCGTCATTGGTGTAGCAAGGATCAAGGTTTCTAATGATTCATTCCCAGTAATTTATAGTCTAATAAAGAGAGAGGCAAAAAGAAAACCGGCACTAGCTCACCTTAAATAGCTTAACGAGGTTGTTGTATATAGTGAATAAAATAGAAAAAAGGTCAATGAGATTTCTAAATACACTAAAGATCATTTGTTATGGTGGTGTGACTACCCAGATCATGTATGCGATTCCTTTTTCGAAAGAAATACCTCAACAACCAGACGAAAATTTATACTATTGGTGCACAAGAACCTCACACTCCACTAATCTAGTACGCCTCGATATATCTCCAAAAGGCAGATCCGGAGGCCGGCCGCTTGCATCTCAAAGGCGTGAAACGAGGCATGCACACTCACAGCGTGCTCTGCTCCAGTGCTCCTGTCCTCTGCACCAAAACGTCTAGGCGTAGCGATTTTGCGTCCTCCCGTACAGTCATGCACAACGGCACGAGGCAACAAGGCCAAGGCGCACGCACCACCTCATCTCTGACCTGATGAAGCCACACATATTACCACCCTTGTTCGCGAGTCGTACGATACGGCGATACCGTAAAAATTCCCGCGCGAGCGCGGTGCACGGTGGACCGATCCCAGCCGGCCCCGGAGGAGGCCCGCGCGGCAGCGGGCTCTGGTCCACAAACACTCGGGCTTCACAGTGATCTCCCAGGGAGCAGCACATGGCGCTGCCTGGCACGTGGCAGCAGCGGGCTCGCGCGCGTTCGCGTCGCGATGAGGAGGATTGGGGCTTGGGGGCCTCCGGCGGTCCGGCCTCGTGAACCTGTGGCTCGTCGAGGACGGGGCCGGCGAAACGGGAGCCGATGCGCGAATCGCAAAGCGCGTGGGGGCCCGCCGGCGACCGTCCGTGGCCCACGGCAGCTCAGCGCGCCTGTGATTGGATTAGCACGTAACTGTTCGCAGCAGAAACAATGGATGCCACGGAATATTTAAACAAAAATAAGTGGGAGGCTGGGTCCAACGATTTGCCCATGACCGAATGCCTTTTGTACCAAGCAGCCATGTTTGCCTCCCTGTGGCCTGCGTCAAATATCTACTGCAACTACCGTTTTTTAAGACGAAAAGGCACTTGTTTTAGTTATTTATTACTCACCGTTCCAAATAGTAAGTCACTTTGACTTTTTTGTATATCCATTTTGTTATATATCTAGATATGATAATATATCTAGATATATAGCAAAATAAACGAACTAAAAAAATTAAAGTGACTTATAATTTCGAGCGGAGGGAATATATAATTCAAGGAGGTTGGTCAAAATATTGATTTTATATATGAAAATCGTAATAGTTTAATCTATCAAAATTTATAAGAAAAAAAAGATAAATAAAGACTCCAATGCATGCAAAACATGTATAAAAAGTGATAGTAGTCTACAATTCATTTAATGTCATAACTAAATTTTGCAAAGGTAATAAAAAACAAAACAAAAAACACAGAGGACGTCTATGAGAAGTATTGCACTGATGCCTATGAGCTATCCAAGGAAATCACTAATGTCTTGGCACACCAAGAAAAATCTTTGAAACATGCCGCACCCCCACCCCTCTTCTCCACCTTTGACGTTCTATGCTTTGCCATATCAACATGTCCAACATTGTGAATGGATCTGGCTATGTTTTGCGGCAAAAAGGTAACTATGAATCGGTAATCAAATGTACAAGATAATCTGAAGTTTATATTTATAGGAGGGCCAAGGAATTAAACAATTTATAGGTGACTTGGTGTGATTTTATTTAGTACTGAAGCTCACCAAAGTGAAATTGAAGACTACCTTAATTTGGAATCAACAGAAATTGCACATCCATGTGATTGGAGTGGGAAGAAATGTAAGATGAGAGCAAGAGACAGTAGTAGGCATAAGCCAAGGTACTGATCGTCCATAGCTACATAGAGTTCATGCAGATAGATGCAATGGAACGCATGTAGAAAGAAACAATACAACTAAAGAAAGAAACAAAAATATTAACGAAAAATAATTTAAAGTAAGAAATTTTCAAATATCATAGTGAAAAAATCTAGCCACCCATAATATTTGCACGGGTCACCTTACTAGTTTTAGTACACTAGCTTGCTGTTTGACTATACGTGTTTCACCTTTCCATACACTTTTAGTAAAATCAATCTAAGACCAAAGACAAGGTGTTTCAAAAGAGCAACAACAATAACACGGAATATAACACGTAATATTGTCCGCCTGTCATCAGTACCGTCCATAACCATATGTATAACTAGTTGCAACAGATCACTAAAAATGAAACATAAGTTAAATAAAATTCTAATTTATAAGGAACACAATATTAGTCATCAACGTGTGTGTACTAAGATGCATAAATAGCTTATTTGGCTTTATACTGAATGATGTTCTGTATAGTACAATTGTCTAAAGTCTTATACATAGTACTTTTGAAAATTCCCTTGCAGCTAGGAAAAGTCCCAAATAAGGCTCCCAGCCAAAATGTCATGGCAAGGTCCTTTGCTCTAATTACTAGTTCTTGGACTTATTCTGCTATCATTTTTTTCTCAAGGCTTCATCCAAAGGCTCCTACTATGTCTTGTTTGGCATGGCTATAGCTCCTTGCTGCCGTGCATAGAAGAGCCGGAGCCGATGAAACAAAAAATATTGATTTTATATGCTCCTACTTCGTTCTAAGATGATAGATAAAAATGGCTCCTTGCAATAGTGCAAGGAGGGGCTAGAGCCAAAGCTACTCGGAGCTCTACCAAACAGGGCCTATAAAGCCAGCAAACTTTTCTCATACAACACCATCGCAACTACAAAAAAATCGTATTGTACGAGATGTTATGATAACAAACGAGAGCAGCTTATGCCCCCTTTTAATCCCATCATAGGTTTAGCTATGAAGGAATAATGCTAGGAGTTTTAGTTGTGGCTAGGACCGGTATAAAGTGTTGAGCCAGCTAGTCATGTTCATAGGATCGTCGTGGACAAGCAAGGCTCGTTCTTTCAAACAAATTAAGTTGAGGCTTCTTCCTATTATATTTTTCTTAACAAAAGCAACTCTTGAAAACAATATGACATTATAGAACTCTAGATTTTATAATTTATTAGTACAATGATATTTCTATGGTTTGGCCAAATTAACTTGCCACCCTACCCATTAGTAAAACAACCATAGTGTTAGTTCATTTTGTTTTGAGTCTTAATCATCTGCATCCTTCTTTTGCTTTTATTTTTCCATGCCGATATGGTTTTTGGTTATGTCATGATTTTTCTAAATATTATTAATATATCTAACCCACTTCAACTAATGTTATTAAGAAAATTAAAAGGCGAGAATAATCTAGGAGGAGCTAGACATGTTTATTAGTTAAGAAGAAAAACAAACATTTAAATTCAAGTCAAAGAGGACTTAAGGGGTTAGGAAGCATGGCCTCACCTCTCCAAGAAATTGAGTTAGACTCGCTTCCTAACTCATGGTATTAATCACAGAACAAAAAACAAAGAACCAAAAATTGAGCCAGTTCAATGGTTCAACATTGACCCACCAATTTATAAACAAATATTTTTTTAAAAAAATAGTACCCCCACTAAATATAAGAGAAAAAAGTAACCCATTATCATCACAGCAGTAACTTACCCAATTAGTTTTGTGGGTATGGGTGGACTTCCCTCTTGCTATACTTGGGGTTATTATTTTGATCCTCTCTCTAGCACATTAATTTTTTTATAAGAGCACATTAAAAAAAAAATGTCCGGAAGTAGCTCTATTAAGCCAACAGTTAACGTGAAAACCCTCGGTTCGACCCCTAGCTTTGACAAATTTACATACTACATGAGTGAACTTTCGATTCAATAGATCAAGGACCAGAATGTTAGAGAAAACTTTGGCATTCTTGCTTTGCAAAGGGTTCTATCAATGAGCTTGGATGATCTGCGTTTTCACCCCAAAATTTAGATCCTTTCCACAAAATAGTTATTTTTGGTTTTAATGCTTAATTATTATTTTAAATTATAATTTTGATTCACGTTCGACATGACTTGGGCCACAAAGATGTATGAATTCTGACTGCGACAGAATGCATACTCCTACATGAATCTAATTACAGAAGGCAGGGAAAGAGTACTGTTTTTTTTTTTTTTTGCTACAAACGGGTAGGCTGCATCCTTTTAAATAATTGCGTCGACGGTCGATATTTGGGGAATTTTGCCTGGTCGTCCAAGCCTCCAAGGCGCCTTCCCCACTCGCGGTATTTCTCTAGCCGCAGGCTGAACTACAGAGTTTAGTTCCACAAGCTACAAAGTTCGGCTCGCCATTGGCTTGCAAGATGGAGAAGTGAGCCGTGGACGCAGCTCCCCACTTCTCAGCGCCCTCTTTTTTAATTTGTGGCGATCTTTGGGGTGGTGGGCGGAGGATTTCTAAACTGGATGGTGAAGTTTGTCCGGTGAAAAGGACGGGCGCGACGAATCCGTCCATCGATCCAACGCTGTGCGCGCGTTGGAGGAGGGACCTGCCAGGGCCCCACCTGCAGCGAGAGACTATAGATAGATGCCTTCCTCTCTCATCACCGATGGCTGATGCCTTCGCGGCCGTCTTCGCCTGCCGCTGCTGCTACTACTACTAGTTCCCCTGCTCCCTTCCCCCGTCTCCTCTCGCCCCGCCGCTAACCTCCTCCCAACCCTGGATCCAAATCCCAAGCTATCCCAGAACCGAAGCCGAGGCGCGCAAGCAATTATTAGCTGGCTAGCTAGGCCTGTACTCGGAGATCATGAAGCGCGAGTACCAAGACGCCGGCGGGAGCGGCGGCGACATGGGCTCCTCCAAGGACAAGATGATGGTGGCGGCGGCGGGGGCAGGGGAGCAGGAGGAGGAGGAGATGGACGAGATGCTGGCCGCGCTCGGTTACAAGGTGCGTTCGTCGGATATGGCGGACGTCGCACAGAAGCTGGAGCAGCTCGAGATGGCCATGGGGATGGGCGGCGTTGGCGGCGCCGGCGCTACCGCTGATGACGGCTTCATCTCGCACCTCGCCACGGACACCGTGCACTACAATCCGTCCGACCTGTCGTCCTGGGTCGAGAGCATGCTGTCCGAGCTCAACGCGCCCCCACCGCCGCTGCCGCCCGCGACGCCGCCGGCCCCGAGGCTCGCGTCCACCTCGTCCACCGTCACAAGTGGCGCCGCCGCCGGTGCTGGCTACTTTGATCTCCCTCCCGCCGTCGACTCGTCCAGCGGCACCTACGCCCTGAAGCCGATCCCCTCGCCGGTGGTGGCGTCGGCCGACCCGTCGTCCACGGACTCGACGCGGGAGCCCAAGCGGATGCGGACTGGCGGCGGCAGCACGTCGTCTTCCTCTTCCTCGTCATCATCCATGGATGGCGGCCGCACTAGGAGCTCGGTGGTCGAAGCTGCCCCGCCCGCGACGCAAGCGTCCGCGGCGGCCAACGGGCCCGCGGTGCCGGTGGTGGTGATGGACACGCAGGAGGCTGGGATCCGGCTCGTGCACGCGCTGCTGGCGTGCGCGGAGGCCGTGCAGCAGGAGAACTTCTCTGCGGCGGACGCGCTGGTCAAGCAGATCCCCATGCTGGCCTCGTCGCAGGGCGGTGCCATGCGCAAGGTCGCCGCCTACTTCGGCGAGGCGCTTGCTCGCCGCGTGTATCGCTTCCGCCCGACGCCGGACAGCTCCCTCCTCGACGCCGCCGTCGCCGACTTCCTACACGCGCACTTCTACGAGTCCTGCCCCTACCTCAAGTTCGCCCACTTCACCGCGAACCAGGCCATCCTCGAGGCTTTCGCCGGCTGCCGCCGAGTCCACGTCGTCGACTTCGGCATCAAGCATGGGTTGCAGTGGCCGGCCCTTCTCCAAGCCCTCGCCCTCCGCCCTGGCGGGCCCCCATCGTTCCGACTCACCGGCGTCGGCCCACCGCAGCACGACGAGACCGACGCCTTGCAGCAGGTGGGTTGGAAACTTGCCCAGTTCGCGCACACCATCCGCGTCGACTTCCACTACCGTGGCCTCGTCGCCGCCACGCTCGCTGACCTGGAGCCGTTCATGCTACAACCGGAGGGCGACGACAAGGATGAGGAGCCCGAGGTGATCGCCGTCAACTCAGTGTTCGAGCTGCATCGGCTGCTCGCGCAGCCCGGCGCCCTGGAGAAGGTCCTGGGCACGGTGCGCTCGGTACGGCCGAGGATCGTGACCGTGGTCGAGCAGGAGGCCAACCACAACTCCGGCACATTCCTTGACCGCTTCACGGAGTCGCTGCACTACTACTCCACAATGTTCGATTCTCTCGAGGGCGCCGGCTCCGGCCAATCCACCGATGCCTCTCCGGCCGCGGCCGGCGGCACGGACCAGGTCATGTCCGAGGTGTACCTGGGCCGGCAGATCTGCAACGTCGTGGCATGTGAGGGCGCGGAGCGCACGGAGCGCCACGAGACGCTGGGTCAGTGGCGCAGCCGCCTCGGCGGCTCCGAGTTCGAGCCCGTGCACCTGGGCTCCAATGCCTACAAGCAGGCGAGCACGCTGCTGGCACTCTTCAACGGCGGCGACGGGTACAAGGTGGAGGAGAAGGATGGGTGCCTGACCCTGGGGTGGCATACGCGCCCGCTCATCGCCACCTCGGCGTGGCGCCTGGCCGCTCCGTGATCGAGGGGTGGGGTTTTGGACGCTGATCAAGGCACACGTCCCCCGGCCCTGGGCATGGCGCACCCTCCCCGAGCTCGCCGGCACAGTTGAAGCTACTAGACGTCAATGAACGCTGAATTGCAGTTAGCGACCGGGCCACGGTTCTCGCCGGCGTGATGAGATGGACACTTTGACTCCGACCGGATCGGCCCGTGTTCGTTCTTGTTTCCGATCCCCCTCTCTTCCCGTTGCTTCAATCCGTCAACTATGGTACCCCGTAGCCTATTGTTATGTTTAAGAAATGTCTATTATTATTATGTGTAATTCCTCCAAGCGCTGATATCCAATAAGACCGAGCAGGATTTCGTTAGCTCGAATGAGAATTTTGTATACAGTGCATCCAATCCGAACTTAAGCTATGTTCATCTGTTCGAATGCTTCTTGCATCATGTACACAATTCTTGCCCTATTCGTCCCCTATATGAAGATGATCGTAATGCTGCATTCCGTATTTATATTTACTATCTCATCACTAGAACAGATAAGGTCTTGCCCATCCTGTAAGAAATCCTCCAGTCTCGTAGAGGTAGGCATGGCCGATGCGTCCTGCGCTTGCTAATGTTGGAAACATCTCGTTACTTTGCCTTCCTTGTATCCCTGCGCCTGTATGCTCGTCCTCTGCCGGCTGTTCACGATCTAAAAATACTAATGGGCGTTCACATGGGAGCTGCATCGCAAGCCAGACTGACGCTGTTCCTGTGCAATATTGAATGGCTGTTTATCTGCTATGCAATCAGTGCGCATTATTATTAATCAATCTCCTCTATCACATAATCAGAGAAAGTCAGGTAGAGCCGTAGAACTAGGACTAGATCTCTACAGTACTCCGTAGGACTAGAACAGGTGAAAGAAGAACAATCACCGATGGAAAACCAACCAGGTTAGCAAGCCCAGGCAAAAGGACCAAGAGCAGTAACATTTTACTGTCAGAAGAGAGAAGACGGGAGCTACTCCTGTACACGGCGGCGTGCGTGCGCCCTGTAGTAGTAACGTTTTAACCCGGCGTAAACCACCGCCGTTTAATCGCCAGCTGGGGTACAAGAACTTTTACTGCCTGCGGTGCTGGGATTGGCGCAGGGGGGGGCAGTGTCAACCTGAGAGGGCACTGCTGGTACTGTACGATACATTGCCACTTCTGTTGAGGTCTTGTCCTCCCCTGGGGCGCACACGCCGGCCTGGCCCCTCCGGCGTCCGCCCTTTCAAATTAACCGCGCGGCGCGGTAATTGTCCGCCGCTGCCGTCGCGAGGGGCAGAGGAACATTTCACGCGTCCCGTGATCCACTCCCACCGATAAAATCTGCGTCTGAGAGTGTATGGGACGCGCATGGTCTGTGGAATCTCCGCGCTCGCGCCACAAAATCTCCTAGAGAATGCGTGGTTTACAGAGAGGGTTACTGATAAAACTAGTAGTCTAGTACTAGTGCTTAGCTGCTTTATTTTATTAATAATCCGGCCCTTGATCTCTCTGCTACTCCGTAGTACTGTAGTTTTTTATTTTATTAACCCCGCGGTAAGGCGCGGCAGGAGGGCGGCTAATGGGGTGCGAGTGCGACGCAGTAGAAGTTGGAGGGAGGAGAGAGCGGGAGGCGGGCGGCAGCAACAGCTGTCCAATCGGGATCAGGTGGCTCATGTCAGGAGATGATGGAGGCAGCGTGGTGGCGGGGCCCACCCGTCGGTCTGTATGTGTACCTCTCCCTTCCACCCAGCCAGCTCGAGCTCTGTGGGTCTCTGACTCCCACCGCAGGGTAAAGAAAACGAAAAGGGGCAGAAAAATATGAGATGGCCTGGCCCTGGCCTCGCCGGGGGCACGGACGGGTCCCCCCACCGGCCGATCCGGCTGTGTGTGTTGCGCGGGCGGGTCAATTCCCGTGTGACTGGCTGGCTGACCCACCCCGACGCGATCGCGCGCCTGCCGTTCCACCCCCCTGGCCTCGCCCCGTTTTCCCCGTCGCGAGCGACGTTTTCCGCTTCTGTATTGCGGCGGCCCTCACCCACATGCGCTGGTACGCCCGCGGGCGGGGGCCAGCACGGACGGGCACGGACACCATCGCGCGCGCCGCGGGGTGACCTCACCCGCCGTAACCAACCCAACTCCTAGTCCCTATCCTATTCCTATCCATCTATCCCGCGGCTGGATCGCACTCCGACTCCAACCCACGCCGCGGCAGAGGGATGGGGGGTGGCGCGGCAGGCGCAGCGCGTGGAATTTCGTTGCGGCGGCAGCGCCGCGCGCGCGGCCTCGCGGCGTTACGCGTGGAGCCCCGTGGACGGACGGACGGACGGGTCCGATTCAGCCGGTCGGGACGGGACGGGACCGGGCGCGATCGGTCCGAGACGTGGTGCGCGCACTCGCGGGTTCGGTGCGGTGGCGGGTCAGTCAGGGGCTCAGTCACGACTCGCTCGAGTTTGCGATCGCACATTCGCAGCAGCGATGTGAAGAAAACGAAACGGGCCTGCGTCAACTCAGCTCACCACTCCACTCCTACAATGATAGGATAAGCCCCTTGGACAAGATGTGTTCTTTGTATGTGGAGAAAAAGAAAGAAAGAAGAAGAGGGGCGAATTTTGAGGGATGAATCACGATGCCATGAGCTTCTTTTCGGTAGGGCCTATTTTATTCGGTGAATGGATGGGCTAGGTAATCAGGGATCGGGTTACATGGATGGCGGCAAGAGGACAAGCTACCTACTCGAAGTGATCTTGTTGTCGAGTGGGAGTGGTTGATTGTGTGGTTCGCAGTTGTGCTGCTAAAAATAATTGCGTCCGGTTTGGCTGACGTGGCAACGCACAGAACAGACAGTGAGTGACTGGACGCTAGGTGAGTCCGGTCGAGCGTGACCGGACGCGTCGGGTCGTGAGTGGAGGTTTACTGGAAATGACCGGACGCCGGGGTCCTGCGTCCGATCATGATCAAACTGACGCGTCCGCTCGCAGCTGGAACCTTACTGGAAGTGATCGGACGCTGCGGTCCTGCGTCCGGTTGTGGCACTGTGCTGCGTCTGGTCATCACTTGACCGTTGGGATCGTGCGCTCAGTATTTGAAGAAAGAGATGACGTGGCAGCCACCCGTTGACCGGACGCTGGCAGGGTGCGTCCGGTCGATCTGACTGGAGCGTCCGGTCACCCTGAGTTGTGCCCAGTGAAGAGGTACAACGGCTCTATTTCGTGGGGGCTTCTGTTTAAGCTCCATGACCGGCTCTAGCTCACCCTCTTGGCCATTTGCATTGACATAGCAACCTTGCGAGCTTAGCCAAAGCCCTCCCACTCATCTCCATCATTGATTCAACATCTTTGTGTGAATTGGGAGTGAATCCAAGTGCATTGCTTGAGTGTCTGCATCTAGAGGCACTCGGTGTTCGTGTTTCGCTGCGGGATTCGCTGGTTACTCTTGATGGTTGCCGCCACCTAGACGGCTTAAAGCAGCGAGGATCATCGAGCGGAGGTTGGTGATTGTCTCCGGCTCCGATCGTGGTGATTGTGAGGGGTTCTTGACCTTTCCCTGACGGAGAGCCAAAAGGTACTTTAGTAAATTGCTTGTGACTTGTGTGATCCTCATTCTGTGTTGGTTGTGCGGCACCCTATTGAGGGTTTGGCGTGTGATGTCAATTAGCGCGTGAGCCTCCAAGTGAGTGAATCGCCACAACGAGGACTAGCTTGCCGGCAAGCAAGTGAACCTCGATAAAAAATCATTGCGTCATCATTTAATTCTGAGGTGATTGGTCTTCATTGATATTGATTCTTGTGATTGATTGGTTCACTCCTCGACACGATGGTATAACTATCTTGCTCTCTCTCTTTACATTACCGTAAACTAGTTATCAAGCTCTTTAGTATAGCTAGTTGTGAGAACTTGTTAGTTTGGTTAGTGTGGATCTTTCGTTAGTCTTTGAGAGCACAATAACTTAGTATAGTGACATAGTCTTTGTGTGGATAGAAATTATAGAAACTAGAATTGTGGTGTGCTTAGTATAGTGTTTCGAGTTACCACCGACGAGTAAATTTTTAGTATTGACGTCTGACTTGGATGGTGTGCTTAGAGGACACGAGGTTTATACTGGTTCGGACAGAAAGTCCCTACGTCCAGTTCGTAGCTGCTGCCCGTGTTACTAGCACTGAAAGTTTATAGTAAGGATTACAAACGAGCGAGAGAGGAAAATGATCCCAAGTCTCTGGTGAAAAAAGTGAGTGAGTGCTGAGAGCTCGATCGCTGCTTGGCTGTGCGTTTGTGTAGTGCTCTTGTGCGGATCTGTATCGGATCTTGATGGGTCGCTCGGTTCGGGATCCTCTTCATGGGGCGCCCTGCTTTTCCTTTTACAGGCCAAAGGAAAGCACGTGTTACAGTGGAGGAAAAGAAGAAGAACGAGAGAGAGAGGAAGGCATCCAGATCGCCGGGTCCTTCTTCTCCTTCATGCGGGTCCTGTGCGACCCTGTAGATGTAAACAGGGACGGCTCCACGTCGCGGTGCTGTCTGTCACTGGTGCCATGCGCAGGCGTCATCCGCCTAGCATGGCGCTCCACTCCGTCCTGGCGGACGTCGTGGTGAACTAACGCACCTGTCAGTGTTCGTACGAGGGTTAGACAGAACAGCACCGGTACGCCCGACGCTGTTCTTGATGTGAATTCTCAGGTATGGCCCGTCGTGGCCGCGGATTACATCGGAGCGTGCTGGTCTCTTCCTTGGTGTCAGAGTTTTGACCAAGGCCCATACACTTGGACCTGAAATGATTGGCGGCAGTATGGGTCCCCGTCGGGCGAGACGGAGTCCGCACCCAAAGGGTCTGACGAGGCGGAGATCGCGGCCTCTGGGTCGGGTGAGACGGAGATTGCGGCCTCGGGGTCGGACGAGGCGGAGCCCACCCCAGAGATCGGGCGAGGCGGAGCCCGCGCACCCGGGGGTCGGTTGGAGCTGTAGGCGCGCTCTTGACTGTTCAATTGAATCAATGTTGATGACCATTAGCTCA